TTTTTGTAATCCTCTCTTCTGAACCATAAACATAGTGTCTGAAGCTATCATTATATTGCATATCTTTTTGTAGCGCTTGTAATTATGATATGGTTTCTTGTAGCAATGTAGAATTTTAACCAGGTGTCTTTTTATGCGGGCCATCGCCCTATTCTGGGCAGGCTCTAAACTCAACTCCAGTATGGTCTCTTTACATGTGTTGTAGTATAATTCACGTACGTGTGTGTACATGTGTGAGTTAGGAGAGATGAAGGAAAGCAAAATGGCGGGCGATCCACGGGCCATTTTGTAAAGGTACTGCTCCGGCGTTTATCTGGTTCTGTTGATGGGGTAAATCATGAAAAACTACAGATCACTTTGCTGCTTGATTTCCCCTTCAGATAGTATTTGAATTAGAACGAGTAACAATTGTGGAAATTACTCTACCGTCGGGATCCGAACCTTGGTTCTCTTTATGACCTGCAGGGAAGGGGTATGGAAAGTCACTGTTCTTATCTCGTTCCAGAAAACACGCTTTCCCTTACCAACCGAACTTATCGCTGAGGGATGCCTATCTTTCCACGAAGAACAACACCCTTCCCGGAATGCAAGGCAATGACACCTCTGACGTTAAGGCTCAGGTAAAGTATCACTTTACGACCAGAAGAAATAATATAATTACATTATTGAAATGATGCCACACGCGGACATTATAAAAAGAGTATTACTTTTATACCACGAGGCGTTACATGATTTATGTTCGCTAATAACGCCATTCGTTTATTATATTCATTTGGCTCTAGCTTTGAGCAATATTTCTCTTAAGGTTTATAGTAAATATCTGTAGTTCTGTTTAACAGTAATAAACTGATGAATAACGGATAGCAGATAATAATTATAATGGATATTTTCATTAACAATGATTGAAATAAGTTTCTCTCAAATTGCTGGCCAAAAAAGTGAATTATTATAAATTCCTAAGTATCGAATTCATAAAGCTCATCAGCCCTTTGTCCATTTCACCTCGTTATATGAAGGGCTCGGGTCAGCAGCAAGTGACGCAAAAACGACGTAAATTGGATTGATATATGATGACTAGGAGCGGATATTGATTACCTAAAACATCGCCAAAAACAAAATGCTCCTAAAAGGTTTTAAAAATAATCACAGAAAAATGACGTAAAAAATGTGATCAAAACGAGTTCAGGTAAACGACTCAAGCTGTTGGATACCTTTCTGATGAAATCGAGGCTTCTTCCTTTTGTTCAAGTGAACTCCGCTTGCAAAGTTTCTATTTGACTCTTCTTTACCAGGAAATGTCTGTCTTACGTTATCGCGATATCGGCCGAACTGACAATGGTGCTGCTACGTATCACAGGAATCTGACATTACATACACACAACGACGGACGTTGAAGTTTCTGAACGAAGAAACCAAATAAGCTACTTGGGAATTCGGTAGGGAGTATTTCTTGCAGCACGAAAATAGTATTTGAATAAAAAATAGTTTACCCTTTAACTCTGTTCCGAAATTTATTCAGAAGATCTTTTTTTAAATATAGCATTTACGTCCAGTTTTACATAGATTGTCACCTTTTCAGTTTTCCATGTTTGTTTCTTTGTCGGTAATAATTTGACGTTTAATCAGTTGAAGTAAAAAATGTCATATCTAGCTTCTAAATTACAAGAAAAATTCTAAAAATGTGTCCACTGCAATACAGTAGTACAGTACCACATGTGACGGGAGACCGGTCGGGAGCTTATCCCGGCTGGGGCCGTACCTCACTGGTGTGAGATACCTGGTAGGGGAAAACTCCGCTAGTCGACGCTAGATCGGCGCCGAATTTCGGCACCCGATGTACTACAATTACAGGACTAATGACTTTAGCAGTTGACCCGCCCGGAATCATTATTAATCAGTCAATCAACCGATCAGAGTCGCTGCAGAGTGTTGTTACTAAGATTTCCGCTGCTGTCCGTAGGGCAGCGCACGCAACCAGACGTCGTGCAGGTCACGGCGCGCGGCCGCCGCGGCGTCGGTCGGTGCCGGGGAACCCCCTTCTGCTCTGGCCACCGGGGATTCCCCTCCGCCCGCAGGACGCCCCATCAGCCGCCGCTCGCGCTCCGATCCCCAACGAACCTGACACTCGCCGCCTCCTTCTTTCACGCCCTCGAAGTTTTCATTTGTTTACGAATTGAGCTACGAAAACGTTTTGATTTGGAAGATCACTGAAGAAAGTGACATTTTTAATTACTGTGAAAATATTCCTCCCCCTTTCATTTCTTCGAATTTATTCATTTGTTTTCAAATTCTGTTACGAAAACCTTTTGATTTGAAAGATCACTGAAGAAAGTGACATTTTTAATTACTGTGAAAATATTCCTCCCCCTTTCACTTCTTCGAATTTTTCATTTGTTTACGAATTGTGGTACGAAACCGTTTTTATTTGAAAGATTACTGACGAAAGTGACATTTTTAATTACTGTGAAAATATTCCTCCTCCTTTCACTTCCTCGAATTTATTCATTTGCTTACAAATTGTTTTATGAAAACGTTTTGATTTGAAAGATCTCTCACGATAGCGACATTTTTAATTACTGTAAAAATATTCATTCTAATTACATGTATTTAAAATTTTCTATAAATATAGAATGTTTTTTATTTCGAATATTTAGTTTAGATGTGTTTTTCTGGTATTTTTGTTGAAATAGTTGCAAAATGCACCACAGTATAAAATAGTTAGTTTACTAGTACATTTCTGTGTCATAAGGGACCTGTAAGAAAAAACGTAACGGTATTGTTAATACACTTGCGGGCCTTTCTGATTCTTAATATCCAAGTGGCCCTTTTGAATACTTTATGCCCGCTCCGCTATCAACACAAAAAATAAAATAATTTTATGAATTTATTGAAGCTAAGAGATAGAAAATACAATAAATAAATGGCATAAGGCTCAAATATGAAAAATAACTCGATGTAAACATTATTTTGTTGAGTTGATATGAAAATTGCAAGTTTGGAATGTTGCAGTGAATTTTCAGTTCCGATCAGTCACTCATATTTGATATACTGATATATCGACATATATCAGACTATTTTAGAGATACGTCTATAGTAATAGTACTGCTAGGAGTAATAGATTTAGAAGGCACACCGGGTAACATCCTCCAAACATTTTTTTATTTAATGAAATCTAAATAACTTTTTGCAATATGAGTAAATAACTAAAAAGTACTGTTTCATTTGTACAATTAAACCAGTTTTTCCCATCCAACTCCCAAATATGCCACAATTTCTTTTGTTTCTCGAGATGGTACTGGAAACACCTTCCTTTAGCTTTGTTATTTTTTTCGAGAAATTCCGTATGAAGTTCACAATATTGTTATACTTTTACAAACAAGTAACTCCAACTACGATTATGCAGCTGTTATTAAATACACATTGTTTTCCTTTTCTGAAATAAATACTAGTTTATCTTTTAGATTAATCCATTTCTGCACAGAAGATATTAACACATTCATATCGCATGTGCTGAAGTTGATCACGACATTGAAAAATGCTTTTTGTATAATTAGTTTAATTGTCATCATCATTTTGCAAATTAGATTACTAAAGAGAATTAAAAAATAGAACCTTATATAAGTTGTATACAAAGGTAATAATAATTGTTTGCATGAAGTGACGCATGTAAATAATAATTCGTGATTTATGTAAACAATGATGTGTGTAATTAATGATATATGAGTATGATGCAAGTAAATAATAGTATAATGAACTAAATATAAACTGAAAACTCTAAAAGTGGTTTGAGGATAAAAACTTGCTCTGTATGTCAAATTATGTAACATTATTGAGGTCGCTGAACACCAGTGTAGTTATAAAGTGGCATAAAACAAAAATTTTAAAAAACATTTCGCGAGCGTATTGTAATTTTTTATTGTTAGTAAAATAATCAGTAATATTATACCAACGAATTTGAATGCAAATCTGCTCAGATGTTTTATCTTGGATTTCAATGAGACACCCCGTTACCAGAAACTTTCTTCGTTTTTATTCTTCTATAGACTTATTAACATAAAAGTATTGAACACTGCGAGATGAAATTATATTATTTTGTATTATCTATAGTATCTAAATGTTCTACAATTGTCGAATCCACTGAAATTTTCTAATAATATTCGATATCGCACTTAATAAAATAATCATTACTAAATTCTTTAATTAATGATTATTCATTTGAATTAATTAACGAACTACATTCTTGGCTTTAGTTTTTCGAAAATATAGGTTACAAAATTTTAAATCGAAAGTGTGCTTCATGTAATGACAAACGTAAATGTGCTTTTTTGAAAAAAAAAATAACACGTTTTTATGAATCACTTATTAAGTGTATTAGTACAAGACACTTTACTTCCCTTTAAATAGTGACTTTATTATATGTAAAATTTGCAAAATTAGCACCTTCGCATGTGTTCAATCGAATACGAAAATGGAATGTGCGAGTTGAAATATTTTTTTTGTTCAAATGTAAATTAAGTTAAACGTTGAGGCAATGAATATGCATTCACAAAAATGTATAACTATTAAAGCTTTTGTAAATTATGTTACATCCTCATCTTTAGAGCAGCAGTTTTGTCACTTGATATAATATTCATAAGCTTAAGGGAAAATATCAATTGGCGTTTAGTAATTGATGAATTGTTCTCGAAGCAAAAATAACGCTAGTTACATTTCATGGTTAGAACGCTTAACTTGTTGACTAACTGTTAAATGTTATGTATTGGTGAAATAATTCCCCGCTGCAACAAAAAAACCTTGATAATTAATTTGGTTTCTAACTACTCGTACATTAGTTTGTACCGTATACCGTTCATCATTTAAGAGAAATTCTGTTTACACCCAAGAGTATAAAGAACTCAATTGAATTTCTAACTACCGCTTGTTCTGTCAACACCGATTATCTCGGGTTCAATTCAATACTCGTTGTTCATGCAAATGATTAAATCTGCGTTTACTCTTGTGAAATTAATTTTGTCATATCGGTCTTGTCAACTGCAGTTTCGAGTGAATGGTCAACATCTCCACTACAATTGCCCCGAGTTTATCGTCGTTATTTATTGATTTTCGAGAGTACGATATTGCTGGATCTTTTTCAATTCGAACTTTATGATTAAAATTCATTTTATAATTAAAAATTGGAATGAGAAATTAAGGTCTTCTTTAACATAGATTTAGTAATACTTTTAATATGTTTAGTAAAAGGAATAAATAACATTGCAGCATTAAATTTTACATGCCAAATTTATTCAAAATATATGTATAACTCTACAAAGAAATTTGAATTGAGAAAATTGTGGCATTAGCATTTGCTCACAAATGTGGAACGGGAGCCACCAATAGTATCCAGCATCTTTTTCTCCACTACCTTTGTTCAGGCAAGGTAACGACTTTAGCACAGACGAGGTAGCACTTTAACGAAATTTTTTATTACAATCTTTCTAAACTTTTAAATCTGAGGTTATCAGTAGGCACACGGTGATTTGTTCTTAACTCCGCACTGCAGACTTTCAAGTAAGTACTTTCATTGAGCATGTTGTTTACCCAATGCATTATTTATTTTCTACGTTCATTCTTCCCCTTCAACACCCATTGTCAACTTATACGACACCTTACAACTTCATTCTTGATGTCATTCTCTTTCAACCTTGAAACTTCATTCTCAGATGTCTCTAACATGTTACCTTTTAAAAATCTCAGATATTTGGCAATAACATATTTCTAAACGATAAATGAAATCATTTACCACAAACCTAAATGTTCAGTAGTGGAATGTGGATAACTTCCCAAAGGGTCGTACTTCCGAACAATATAAACGAAAGCTCTAAGTACATTGAAGTTAATTAAAAAAAATGTTAAAGACAATTTGTTTTTTCAGTTCTATACAGGTGTTTACAAAACCTTTAAAACCGTCACCATGTGGAATCGCTTCGGGGGAAGGCCGGCGTTTTCGTACAGTCAAGCCTTCCACACGCCTTCAAACATTCACTCATCAAAGCCTTCCTCAGTCTTGATTTTAGTTCTATCTTTGATGGGTAGAGAAACACGTCTGTTATATATAAAAGCCAAGCATTGTGAGATATTGAAAAAGTATACTAAAAGAAAGGTCGGTACACACTATCTGTGTCCTCTGAGAAAAGGTCCCGCAATGTATGTACAATTTTCATCAAAATATATCAATCTTCTAAATTCATAATTTTAAAATTAGTCAGCTGCTACAGGAATGCAGACACTGATTCTCATTATTAGTTAAGGTTTCTAATTTATTTTGGTCGAGGGCTAACTTTCCCACTTTTCCACATAATCGTTGACAGGTACCACAATCGCCACCCTAAGTACATTAAAAAATTTCAAACTTTTATGTTTTCCCACTGATAGAAATAGAAAATATTAACTTTAAATAATTTTATGAATGTAAACACGTTTTGCCTATATGAAAGTTTTCGTTGAAACCTTGACTCATGTTTTAAAGAAAACGGCTTTTAAGCCGTTATTGAAATGCCGAAATTTGAGGCTTGTTTTTCACAAAAATATTTTGAGATTAGAAAAACTTACTTGTATTTTTTTCATTTGAAACATTATCCACTCATAAATGCGAATAATCTACACAAAGCTCTAGAAATTTATTCTGGGGCCACGGCCTTTGACTCAATGCCATATGACATTAAATCCATTCTCATTGGCTTTCAATGTGAATTTGTGACTTGTATAATGCTTCCGAAATGTATGATTATACTGTTTAATTATGTACTTGTATTTGTCCTAATGATGAAAAATCATGCGTGTAATTATGTCGTTTGCTTTATTTACGAAAAACATCTAACCTTTTCATAGTCTTGTTCTCATTCCAATTCCATTATTAACTTTATCCTGAAGCATGTAGAATGAATAATATAAGCATTATATGCATGAAGTAAAACTCACATGAAACCATACATACCTAGCCCCAATAAACAAATTTATTTCTATTAAGCCATGCGATACTCCCCGAGAACAAAACTACCACTTTATTTCAGACGCACCCATCCCAACCAGAAAGTCCCCAAAGTTTCGTCATCCCTTCCGAAAAAGAACCACCTGCATATA